TTCTCTGGTCCATAGAAGTCACCCTGGAGTTTGAAAAAATGATTTTTACTTTAAGGATCATGTGTTCCCATGATGAGCCATTTTGGGTTGGAAAATGAGGGCCTCCTCCTTTCAATTAGCCAAAAAGAACTGGGGTCTGGGGCATGGAAGGCTTGGAATGCCAGAAGAGTCTTGTGGATGGGAATTGGGTTTCTTTCCACAACCCGGAAGTTGGCTGGGCTGGGCTGGGACCCTAGGATTGGGTTCCATTGTGTAGGCTCCGAAAGTGACCCCTTTCATGGTTGTGTGGGTCTCTGTTACCCCTAATGCACAGGTGAAAACCTGGTGCTATTAGCTGTGGTCTGGGTGGGTGAAAGACCAGTGTGTCCTCAAATGTACTCAGGATTTTGGTTTTATTCAGGCTTGGGGAGGGCAGCAGATCAGAAGATGATTGCCGTTGAAAAGATTGTTACAGTTCCCGAAAGGACGGTGTGTGCTTGACCAAGCAGGGCCACATGAGGAAGCCCCAGTGTTGATCAGAAGCCAGAGGAATGAGGGGAAAGCATAGGCAAGAGCTTTATTGTGTTTTTTGGAGGAAGACTGGGCAAGGCAGACAGACAGACTCCGTAAATTCAGGAGTAGCTGGTTTGGATAATTTCAGGGGGTTCTGGGAAGGCCTGCTCAGAAGGGCTCTTCTGATTTGCCTGGTTCCTGGCCTTGAGGCGTCTAACCTTGATAAAGACAGTAATGGACAAGGGTGGCTCTGGATTGGTTGGTTTGCTTGTGAAAGCGTACTCATAGGGAAGTCCTGTGCTGTCCCCAGGAATTAGTTAGCCTGCGGAGGGGAAGTGTCTTCAGAATCATTAGGCCCCCAGGTGCCAGAGCATCAAGAATACAGAAAAGAAAATATAGTTAATACGCAGTGGCCACATTTGGAGTGATGAGCAGGGGAAAGTAGGGGAGCATTCAGACTCTGGAGCAATAGCATTTAAGTCCCCGGACGTGTGATACAGACAGGTTCATGGAATGTGTGTCTATTTCTTATGCCGGTCCAAAAGCTAATTATGAAGATAAAGGGATGGCTTTTCAGTGATCCACAATAGTGAGGATATTAGCTTTATATTGCTGTGTAACAAATTATTACAAACTGGGTGTCTTAAAATCATGCCCATTTATTATCTCACAGTTCTGTAAATCAGTTGACTGGTAGGCTTGATACTCTGCTTAGGGTCTCACAAGGCTGAAATCAAATGCTGGCCGGCCAGGCTCTTACCTGGTGGCCGTGGGAGAGAATCTACACCCAAGCTTGTCCCAGCCGAATTCATTTCCATGTGGCTCAGGTCCTTGGCCCCTCATCTTCAAGTCAGCCATGGTGGTTTGAAATCTTCTCATGCTTCAAATATTTCTCTGAATCCAGCTAGAGAAAATTCTTGGCTTTTAAGGACTCACATGGTTAGATTGGGCCCACTCAGATAATCTGGGATAATCTCCCTATTTCAAGGAATATCTGCAAAGTTTCTTTTGCCATGTACTCTTACATATTCATTCATAGATGTCAGCAACTAGGATTTGGAAATGGATTGAGAGGACCATGTTGCCTAAAACAGGGGATTTATGATTAAATGTTGAGCACTTGGTAAAGGCGGCATTTGCCAGAATCTCCATTATAAAATTACTATTTTTGTTTTTAATAGCTAAATATTTATTGGAGAAGGATATTTTGAGAGTACGTAAGGACCCTCTCTCTCCTTAAATTTTCACCTATTTTTGCCACCCGTTAGTGAGATTGCTTACAGAAATTATTACTGTGGTATTCTAATGGTGGTTTTCTATTTTCCTCGTTTCTTGTACATTTATTCATTTGAAATATTCTTTAAGGAAGAATATCTCTTCATTTGTTTTGACTTTTTAGATTCTACATGTATATGTAAAATCATATAGTATTTGTCTTTCTCTGACTCATTTCACTTAGCATAATACCCTCTAGGTCCATCCACCATGTTTTCACAAATGACAAGATCTCATTCTTTTTTGTAGCTGAGTAATATATACTATATATATGCACTATATGGAAATGTGCATCCCACATCTTTATTCATTCATCTATCAAGGGACACTGGGGTTACTTCCATATGTTGGCTATTATAAATAATGCTGCGATAAATGTGGGGTGCATATATCTTTTCATTTTCTTTGAGTAAATAACCACTAGTGGAATTACTGAATCGTATGGCATTTCTATTTTTAACTTTTTGAGGAAACTCCATACGGTTTTCCGCAGTGGTTGCACCAGTTTACAGTGCTAAAACGGTGCAGGAAGATTCCCTTTCCTCCACATCCTCACCAACGCTTGTTCTTTCTTGTCTTTTTGAACCTAGCCATTCTGACAGGTGTGAGGTGATCTCTCATGCAGTTTTGATTTGCATTTCGCTGGTGATGAGTGATGTTGCGCGTCTTTTCATGCGTCTTGTTGGCCGCCTGTATGCTTTCTTTGGAAAAATGCTTATTTAGGTCTTCTACCCATTTTTAAATTGGATTATTCCTTTTTTTTTTTTTTGAGTTGCATAAATTCTCTTTGTAGTTAGGGTATTAATCCCTTATGGGTGTTGACCAAATAAGAATTCACTGAAAAATTAAGTATATTTGAACAAGTGGAATTGTAATAATGGAAACACAGGTTCAGGTATAAACCTGAATTATGCTGAGAGGAAGACAAAGAAGGGACACGGTTATAAAGGCAAAGGGTTACAAGTGCAGTTCTCAGTCAGGTCTGTGATGCAAAACAGGGATTGAAACTAGGTTAGCTGGGATTGATTGGGTTAGTATGCAAATGAGGGACTGAAATTTGCCAAGTCTCACAGGCTCCTATTGAAGTGAAGAATGGGAAAGATTCCCATGTCTTGGTAAGGAAGGGGTCCAGCCTCACGGCTTGCAGCTGGTGAAGAGTTCATAGGTCCTTGAAGAGAATGTGCATTCATTCCTTCTCCCTTAGGGCCTCCTGGCCCTTTTTTATTTTATTCTAAAGGTTTATATTTTTAAGTAATGTCTACAGCCACCTTGGGGTTCAAATTTACAACCCCAAGATCAATAGTTGAATGCCAACTGAGCTAGCTAGGCACCTGCATCCCTGCCTGATTTTTAAAAAAGAGATTCTTTCGGCTAGGCTTGCTTGCTGTATCTTGAAATCTCATTTTCATTAGGTGCATTATTTGCAAATATCTTCTCCCTTCCCGTATGTTGACTTTTCATTTTGTTGATGATTTCCTTCGCTGTGCAAAGGCTTTTTATTTTAGTGTAGTCTCAATAATTTGTTTTTGCAATATACTTAAAATATTTTTAATGTTTGCTAATTTTTAAGAGAGAGAGAGAATGAGAGTGCAAGCACGGGAGAGGCCGAGAGAGAGGGAGATAGAATCTGAAGCAGGCTTCAGGCTCCAAACCATCAGCACAGAGCCCAACTAGGGGCTTGAATTCATGAACCATGAGATCGTGACCTGAGCCGAAGCCAGTTGCTCAACTGACTGAGCCCCCCAGGCGCCCCTTTGCAATATACTTTTTAAAAAATTAACTTAAATTTAAAAGGAACATGATCATCTGATTTGACAGGGAAATCTTACCATAATTTTTGCAGCTAGTGATACAGAATTGTCAACTGCATCATTATTACTATGATTAGCTGTCAACGGAGATAAATTACCAACTAAGGCAACTGTGATATTGTGATTTATAAGAAATATACATTTGGCCATTCAAACAACCAAAATAAATTTCTGTTCTGTATTTGGTTTTTATCTACGGTTTCAGACTCACAGCCCCTAAAACTTTTGGAATTTCCTAGGATAAGGGCGATAAAGGTGTCTTTTGTTATGTTAATGAGGTGAACTTGGAAGCCCTAAGGATGGGCCTGGTTGCCCGGAGAACCAACCGGGTGATTAGAGGGATGGAACTTTCGGTCCTACACCCTGACCTCCGGGAGAGAGAGGCTGGAGGGAGTTGACCAATGGCCAGTGAACTTGGTCAGTCACGATTGTATAATGAAACCTCTATAAAACTCCAAAGGTTTGGAGAGTTTCCCAGTTGGTGAATGCTTGGAGATGTGGGGACGGCAAAGTCCCTGGAGAGGGGAGGAAAGCTCCACCCCCTTTCCCCAAACCTTGTCGTCTGTATCTCTTCCCTTGGCTGTTAAAATGTAGTAAGTGTTTCCTGAGTCTGTGAGCCACTGTAGCAAATCAATGGAACTCAAGCAAGAGGTTGTTAAAGCCTCCAGGCTGTGGCCAATTTGTCAGAAGCACAGGTAACAGCCTGGGGTCTGAAGTGGGGGGTGGGAGACAGTCTTGTGAGACGGAACCCCTAACCTGTGGCCTCTGATGCTATTTCCAAGTAGCGTGTCCGAAAGGAGTTGAATTCTTTGACGCCCTGCTGATGTCCTAGAATTGCTTAGTGTTGTGTGCACGTGGGAAGACCCCCCTCTCCCCCACGGCACGGTGGGAAGACACCCCTCTCCCCCGCGGCATTGCGACTGGGTCCGGGAACCTTATAAGAACAACTAATCAGAATCACAGGTTTCTTTTGCAGGTTTTTTTGGTAACTTTAAGACCCCTTTGTTCAAACAACACTTCCAAGATTTGATAACATATTAAGGAAGAAGGGGCCAGATGGTTGTGGATGGTCGCAAATCCCCACACGGCATGGGAAAACAAGATTAATATTTGAAATTTTCAATTTAATGCCGTATCAAATTGGATTTATTCGTTGAGTTTTTAACCAGAGAAACACGTCTCTCCTCAAGAGCTGGACATATAGCATTTTTCCTCTCTGAGAAGGTGGTCTTTAAAAAGTTTGCCTGTGGTTCTGTGACCATGTCCTCTCCCTAGTCCCCACCTGACAGGTAACATCTAAACTAAACACCATAATCCTTCTGAGGACGGTGAGAGTGGAGTTGTGTGGGCAGCACGTTTGGATTAATTATGACTTAAATAACCAAACACCAAATTAACCAGAATGTGTTCTGCTGCTTCACTTTTAGGGGGAAAAAAAGGAGCAAATGAGACCAAGACAAGCTCATAACAGAGATCTAATCACCAGATGCGTACGGACGAAAATTCAGGTACAAAATGAATTTCTTATACTCTTTTGGGTCTGCATCGAAATTATTGTGTAACGATTGCTAGCATTCAAAATGTCAAGTAGAATGCAGAATCAGCAAGAGACTGAGCAGTCAAACTTTCCATACGAGTTAAACACTGTAAAAAAAACCTATTGCAGGCTTTGGAGATGTAGAAATATGAAAACACAAACAAACAAACAAACACTTCTCTCGATCAAAGAGACCATGACCCTGGCCGCCATTTGTCCGCTGTTGGCAAACTCATGTACTATGCCTGGGGGAGGAGCCATTTTGCGAAAAACAGACTTCCTTCCCCTGTATCTTTAGACCCTTCTTAGGAGATTCCTTCTATTTCTTTGTCTTCACTGAACCCGGACTGTCCTGTGAGAACAAGCCTGCGTCTGTCAGCCGGTCAAACGCGGGGCATTTGCACTCCAAGTGGCCCCAGAACTAGGGGGCGGGTGCCCTCCCCGTGCCACGTTCAGGCCCCTGGGCCTGCATCCTCTAGCTAGAAGTCCTCACCCTGTGAAGCCTGTGCTCCCTTCCCGGTGCCCGTCTTCACTCAACTTCAATCACGCGTCCTCCACAAGGTAAACCTGGGAGGCGCCCGGGCAAGCCCCATTCACTACTCACTCCGCAGTCTGTCCCCAGGGTAAGCCCAGGGCTTCAGCTGTTCCCTGTCCTCCCCCAGCTTAAGCTCTATCTCCCCCACCGACTTCTCCTTTTAAGTGTTCGCTTGACATCTCAGCCTAGATGCCCTTCAAACACCCCAACTCAAGTGCACCTCAAGCTGAACTCCTGAGTCAGCCTCTTCCCCTAAAACTGCTCTTCTGCTAGATGCTTCTGCTGCTCAACTAGTTCCTTGAATGACATACTTTGGGCTCATCCTTGACTCCCCTTCCTGCTTCTTTGGTGAGATGAGTGATTTCAATATCGTAAGTAAATATACAGATGGAAGGAAATAAGTTGCAAAATGGAACAAAGCTAAGTGGCATTTCATCCATCCGAGGAAGTCTACCAGCGTAGCTGCTGTTGGGTGACTCGCACTGTGGCCTTGGACACAAAGTTCAGGCCAAGGGATTAGCCAAGAGTCTGGTGCTTATTCCGGCTTCTCTCTGGCTGCTTCTTTTCTCTGTCTCCTGAAACTGATGCCTTTGGAGACCCCAAGGCAGCTTCGCAGCGCTCACCTTCCCCGAGCTCTCAGAGGAGCAATAAATCAGCCTATCGGGTAATCCAGGCTCTTCTCTTTACCCCTGGCTGTGACCGTGGGCCAAGCTAACACTGCAGTTTCTCTATAAGATAATGCAAATCCGGGAGATCGGTTCTCTGTGCAGGGAAAAGGTGGGCAAGGACCCAATTATGAGGAGTCTTGTGTGACATATGAACTAAGAAGCAAGGTCTTTGCTTGTAACTGGGGACAGAGTCACATTTTTGAGTTGGGAAATGGATACATGAGGAGACAAACTCATGCCTTTGGTTCTAGAACGTCCCCCCCCCCACCCCGTTTATAGAAAATTATGGACTATTCATCCATGTAAAATTCTAGTGTAAAGTTCACATATCCATAGGCTAAAACAATGTTAAACAATGTATCGCATACTTTTCAGAAGAAAGAATGCCACGTTATTAAAATTACATTCAGAAAATGACTATTTCTTACATGTTTATCTGGCTTCACCATGATACTGTCTATGTGCTAAGGCTACGAAACGTGGGTCACACTTGTTCCTTCTCCCATAGCAGCTGGAGTCAGGTGGGGTCTGTTGTCAGAAAAGGCTCTGCACACGTCTCTGCGACAGCGGCGTGTCAGTGGGCTGGTCCAGCGACCGCGGTCCTCTGCCCTTGTCACCCGGCACAGAGCAAAGCGACCAGGGCTTTGTTCCGTTTTTCCAGACGGGTTGTCAACCCCAAGATAGTCAAGGCACTTTTATGCTGTTATTTTTATAGGGTCAGCAGTTCCCCAAATCAGTACTGGAGTTTGGCAAGATGATGCTCTCTGTGACAAAACAAACAAACACACAAAAAAAACACCCTGAATCAAAATAAATGTTTATATGAAATTTTCATTACCGGGAACTGGCTTCCCAGGTCAAGAATCCACCGTTCAACATTCATCTACTGGTCCGTAAGCATCTTGGTTACCAAGGAGATCGACCAAAGGATGCATGGGGCCAAGTGGATCAGGACCCCCTGAGGGACAGCGGCGTTACTGCCAAAGTTGGCTTCCTCCGTGTATCTGTGCTGCTGCGGACGGGCCCGCCGGGAAGCCCCTGCCCTTTGTGTAAATCCACACTCGGAGGAAAGCACTACCCTTGGCCTGAGACAATTAGCAGGGTTTTAGAAACCATTAAAGGTCTGGAAGGAAGCTGGTGAGTGTGCAATGATTCTGCGCCGCAGGGATACTCTTTTTCCAGAGGGGAGGAGCGGGGGCTGGCAGCCTTCCGAAGGCTGTGGTAGGTGAAGGAAGCGCTGGTCCGCAGGGAGGCCTCTGAGCCTCCGGGTTTTATTCCAGAAGCTGCCTTCCACAAGCCCCCCTGTGGATTCCTCCCTCGTGCGCCCTGAACTCCAGCCCAGTCCCTGATCCCGGAATTCCCACCCCCTGTGAGCTTCCGGGCTGGGGGGGGGGATCCTTTTTTACTCCTGTTTTGGGGGGTCAATTGGAATGGGCATCTATTTACATTTCCTTGAGCCCTCCAGGCTTAAGCCTGTTTGTATAGAATTCGTGGCTTCTAAGTGTGTCCTCTTTTTCCTATTTTGTGCCTGATTTCATATTAAAAAAAATAAAACTATTGTTTCTTTTTTCCTGTAACATTCTGATTATGAAAACTCTGCACTTTTTAAAAAAAATTTTATAAATTTTTTTTAACGTTTTTATTTGTTATTGAGGGACACAGAGAGACAGAGTGTGAGCAGGGGAGGGGCAGAGAGAGGGGGAGACACAGAATCTGAAGCAGCTCCAGGCTCTGAGCTGTCAGCACAGAGCCCGTCGCGGGGCTCAAACTCCCAAACCAAGATCATGATCTGAGCTGAAGTCGGACACTTAACTGTCTAAGCCACCCAGGCGCCCCCAAAACTCGGCACTTTTATGTGTTCCTGTATTTTCTTCTATAATGGCACAGGTCTTTTGCCTTGTAACGTCATGGAGTCCTTTGTTCTATAAAATCCTTGTGTTTATGATTTCTTTTCTTTCCCTTCACGTCTGCTGTGTTAGAAGCCACAGAGTGTCAAGGTTAGGAACACAGACTAGCTTATCTTGGTTGGGATCCTGGGGATCCGTTTCCTAGTCCTGTGCCCTGGGGTTGGTTATCTGACTTCTCCGAATCTCTGCTCCTGTGAGGGCCATTGCGAGGCTGTGGGGATTATATGAGTTACATACAAAAAGCCTATGAACAGTGCCTGGCTGCTACCTCTTGACATGTGTTCGCGATTATTTATTCTTATTTGGGTTATTAGTCTGCTTTCATTTTGTCTCCCTTTTTCCATGTTCCAGTAGAAAAGAAATGCCCCCTTTGTTATGAACCACACTACTCTACCTTTGTGTGTCTGTTTCTAAGCTCTCTGTTCTGTTCCCTTGATCTATTGGTCTATTTCCAAGGCAATACTCTACTGTTTTAATTAGCATAGCTTATGACCAGTGTCCCCATCTTGTAGAACAAGGCCCAGTGCTTATTCCGAATTGTCTTGGCTCATCTTAGTCTTCTACAGTTCCATAAGAAGTATGAAATCGTCTTGTCGATGACATGAAAATTTGATATTTATTGGAATAACATTGTGTATAGATTTATTAGCGTATATTCATCTTACTTATATTGCTGTTTCTTCTGCAGCTTTCAAAAAAGATTTGCAAATTTCTTCATAGAGGTGTTGCATTTCTTTTATCAGATATCTTTCTGCCTGTAGGCATCCTGTGGTTTTGTGTCCTGCTTGAATGGATTCTTTCATTTTACATTTCTAATTAAATCTTCTTCATCTTTAGAAATGATTTTCATTTTGGAACATTGATCTTGTGTCTCGTTGAGCTTTCTTTTCAGTTCTAACCTTTTGTAGAATTTCACAGTGTTTTGTTTGACTGATTAGGATTCCAAGTGCGGTGTGGATAGTAGTAGTGATAGCATCCTTCTGGGTGTATCTGGTTTAGGTGAAAATGCTTCCAAGATTTCACCCACAGTAAACGGTTATTTATAGATATTTTGGTAGCTAGGTTTCGATAACATTAAGAGCATTCCCTTCCCTTCCTTCTTTGTTAAGAGTATTTGCCATGAATGGTTATTGAATCTTAGTGAGTGCTTTCTTAGTGTTTATTACTTAGTGTTTATTTCCCCTCTTATTCTGTTAATATGATAAATCATACTGATAGACTTTCCAAATCTAAAACATTTTGAGTTTTACGTCTTTTTTTTTTTTTATGTTTTATTTATTTCTGAGAGAGAGAGAGAGTGAGACAGCGTGAGCAAGGGAGGGTCAGAGAGAGAGGAAGACACAGAATCTGAAGCAGCTCCAGGCTCTGAGCTGTCAGCACAGGGCCTGACGCGGGTCTTGAACCCATGAACCGTGAGATCATGACCTGAGCCGAAGTCGGACGCTTAACCGACTGAGCCACCAGGTGCCCCAAGGTTTACCGTCTTTACTTTGCACTCTGAAACATGTTACCTATCAGATCGGCAAAAATCTGAGGGCTTAATAACTTACTTTTCTTGTTGAGGCGGTGGGAAAATTGGCTTTAACGTGCATTGTTTATAGAATAATAATTTGTACAAATCCCACGGGGAGCAAGTTGGAAAAAATCTATCGAAACCTGTAGAATTACAGGTGCGTAGTTTCTCTGAGTCAGCGATCCCACTTTTAGAGATTCACCCCTCAGATGTTTGCACACGTGTGAAATGATGGGTGTCTAGCTTTATTCACGACAGCATCGTTTGCAATAATAGCAGATGGGAAACAGGTTGACCTGTAGGAAACTAGTTAGGCTCTGACCCTTAACAGTTTCCTGCCCGTCCTGC